GGTACGTGTTTTCTTCATGTTTTGTGTTTCTGTGGAGACGAGGTTCTGTTCCCTGTTTGAGTTGGCAGGCATCAGAAGGGAACAAACTGGTCTGAAGGCTGTTTATCTGTCATCTCTGTTTTCTGCAACAAGCTTCTAGAAGCGCTCATCTCCCAGGGTACCACTCCTCCTCCCCGCAGCTTCCCTGGACTTTGAAGAGAAAGTAGGGCTACTTCCCTGTGGATTTAAGTTATAAGAACAAAAGGATCTGACACTGTTCCCTTCTTATAACTGTTTCTTTAGCTATTGTTTCCCCCACCCACCCACTATAAACAAACATTAGGCTTAGAGGAATAGTACCTTCTACTCCCTTGTAACTGCCACCTACCTTTCCCTTTCAATTTCTTATTTTTTTAAAAATAAATACATTGCTAAGCTTCTTAGTTTCAATTTCACTGACAACGTGTATTGCAATGTAGCACCCTTTTAGAGTTGTGTTTATAAGCACACCTCCCAGATGATGATAGGGTTCCTCGGGAACATTTTGGTCAATGATGCAGAAGGCATTTAAAATCCTTTACTTGTAGGACGTCAAGATTTTTTTTGAGTGACTAGATTCAGCAAGGATTTCTGTACAACTGGCTTCATTTTATAGATTTGGGAAGAAGAACTACTTAGAATCATAGCATTAATTTTAGCTTTAGTTAAGGTCTGTTTAATGTGAAGTGCCCACTTTATGCTGGCAGACAAATTACCAATGGGGCAACTAGAGAATGCATGAATGATAATGTACAGACAAGCTTTTTATTATTTATTCATAGAAAACAGTGGGTTTTGGTGTGTTGCTTTGAAAAATGTTCAAACTAGTAGAATATAATGAAAGCACAGTGAAAATTCTATTTCATTAACATTTAATCATAAATCGCTCTTTAATATAAAACATAAAATAAAAGTCTGTCATAAGCACTTAGGTGCAGGGAATGGAGCAAGTCTGCAAAAAGGGGAAAAGGAATATTGCAGTGGTTTTCACTGTCACTTAAAAAGAAAAAAATAAGCAAAGGAACAACAGTCTTCACCGAAATCTTACAACTGGTCATGAAGAAACTACTTAGGACATTTCTTGAAACCTTACATTTTGCTGGCTAAAAGTATTCCAAATATCTATAGACAAGGAAACAATTATCAAAATCGCAACAGCTTGAGAGCAGCAATCTTCATCAGAACTATGTTACCTAAGAAAAAAATAATCAGACTTTCAAGCTGCCAGAGCAAATACAAAAATCTTTTGTATGAAGTATCTGCCACCATGTTTATCAGTTAACAAGTATTCTCAAATTCCCCTTAGAGGTATACAAGAGTGGTGCACAAATAAGAAGCTCTTACACACTACAGATCTTCAAGGCTTATACAACATTAGATCTTTATAAAATACTATATATTATGTCTTTTTTCAAGAGCTCTTGTCAGAGAGGTCTTGTTACTCTATAAATACAAATGCAATATTATACTAGCAATACTGATTTGAGTAACATCATCCTGTCGATTAGCAAAACACATCTGTAGATGCAGAGGATGCAGGTCACACTGGTTTTTAGCTTTAGACAACCTGCACATCTCTGAAGGACAGAGAAATTCTCCTTATTGTATCAGTATCAGTAACTATCTGCTAGTGCCCTTCTGATAACATAGTATCTTCGTCCTCCTCTAACAGTCCTTTCTTTACCTAACAAATGGCAGCCATCACCTGAGCAGAGCCTGGTACCTGCAGCCCCTTACGCATTTTACTGTTAGCAGCTAGAAAAGCATCTTTGACTCCTGTCAATGGCACTCTTGCCACACTGAAAAAAATGTTCAGGAAACAGTAGAAAATAAGCATCAATTACACTATTGTGACTTCTTTCTCCCAGCCATCATTAAAAATTCTGACAAGTCAGCCAAGCAACCAAAACTCTCAATACATTTTGCCATAAAGCAAACAAAAAACCCCAAACAAAACAAATCTAAAAGCACCTTCTCATCTGCTTTGCTTATATCCCAGGGGCTGCTCAAACAGCCAGCTCTGCAGCCTGCTCGGGAAATGAGCATTTAGGCAACACAGGTTTTCCCAGAGGCGAGATTTTTTTAAAGGAAAATAAAGCCCTTGGAGAATGCTTCCTTTAAGCAGCCTTCTCTGTCTAGCACTGATGTGGATCGAGCGTAAAGCCTCTGTTGATCACAGCTGAGTTAGGAAGGCTGAAGATAAACAATCCTCTGAGCAGGCAGGTTCCAATCAAAAAGGTTTTTTTCCCAGTCAAGCTCTTTGCTACCAGGTAACCTTCCCAGGCATTCCTCCACTGACTTTTCTGCTGAACAGTATGACTGCATGGTAAGGAATCAACTTTGTGGGCATGAGAAGATAAATTAGATGTAATTGCTGGAACTGTCATTCATGAATTGTGGGCCATTAACTCTTAATGCATCTGGAATCCCAAAGTGAGCAACTTGTGATTCACAAAGCAGTGTAACATTGCTGTGCTGCGTGTGCAACAGTTCACTAATGAGTCAGCGGTGGTCTACAAACTAAATGCAAAACTTCCCATCTAATCAGAACAGACCCATGCCACCTCCGGATAAAGGGCAAGCAGACCTATCTCTGTACCTCTTGGTGTCAGTCCTTTTCTTGCTTATTGCTTTTCCATGATTACTGCACATTATTTTTGGATATCCACCTTCAAAAAAGGCTTCTGTTCCTATCTGGCAGAACTGCTACCTTTGTACAGTTCTACCTTATCAAGACAATCAATGCAAACTACCCTTGGCATTTTTGATCTGTAGCTATCCTTAGCATTTCCTCTCTTCCATATCCTCCGAACAGATATAATCACATGCAATAATTTTAGAAAGAAAAACTTTATGCTTAGAGGAATGCGAGCTATTTCTGTTGACTGTTCATTTCCAGAAACTGCTTGAAACACTTTTAAAGGAGAGTAATTCCATTTCTTGTTGAAATAAAAGCCAAACTCTTATAAAAAACAAACTTCAATAAATTTGTGATCAAGTTATGGAAGCTTTACAAATCACTGTTTTTTTTTCTTTCAGTCTTTATCACATCTGTTCTCAGGTCTCATCACAGTTCTGATTTTGAACTTACACTCATTCAGAACACTTATTTCATACACTTACTGCTCAATTCATGTAACTTAGCCTTCTTATTTGGTGCAGCCAAAAAAAAAACGCAACTCCACCAGTTAGCTCTCATAGCAATTTCTTGGAACATCTTTCCAAAGTAACATTCCATTATATAGAGAGAGACGAAAACTCTCTTGAAAACTTGCAATCACTTTCTCTAGCAATCTACCATCATCTTCAGACTGGGTGCATTGCAGTACAGACTGCTGGTACTCCATCACTATAGGTTACTTTATTACTAGATCTGTTGCCATGCTATTTGTTTCCTAGAAATTCCCAACTAAGGCTTCCAATTAATAGTTTCCTGTTTTTGAACCTTTCAGGATGAGAAGATTCAAGTACTTTCGCTTGTCCACTTTTGGTGGAGATTTAATTTAATTTTGACAAGATAAGAATGTGGTACACAGGTAGTTTCATTAGCAACCCTTTGTGGCCTTAATTAATAAGGACCTTCTTAGGCATTTAACTCTAAGCATGTGAGCAATTTAGCAGCCTTTAGGGACACAGGGATTATGTCCATTTTCCACATGGTACGGTTATAGACAGTTTATGCAGGTACTGATGCTGGTGGCTATTGTCATGCTTATCATGGCCATCTTCTTATTAGACTTTAATGGGTTTTCTTGATCATACAAGAAACAAACTTTACCAGGACTTTGGTAAATTACAGTACATGCTGATTTTGAAATGCACAATTACAGTTTGATACAAGACTGATCGACTCTTCTACATAGCACAGGCAATGACAGATATTCTTAACCTTGTCCAGGGTGCTCCTTTACGGACTCTCCTCTCATTTGCCTACATTTTAACCACACTTTCCATTTCAAAGTTTGCTTAAGGCTGACAAAATTCAGAAAGTTCCAGTTGAACCCAGATTTAAGCTGCATGCTAGACTCAGCAATGGTACCCCTTGGGAAATCCCACTGATACTCCCTTTGTGCATTCTGAATGCCTGAGCACAATGAATACTTACAAGTATGTAAGAATTATGCTTTGGGTGTTTTGGTGTCCAAGAATAGTGGACACTTCTGAAAATTTTTGGTCTTAATATAGAAATGTCCCTCTGTGATGTGGGAGAAAAAAAAATAATTAGCATTTGTAAAAAAGAAAACCCCAGAAGGACCCTACAGAGAAAAGTGTCACAGAAAATCTTATATTGCAATCAGTGTCTTTAAATTCAGTGAAAGATTTCTCTCCAATTCCATGAAAAACAAGGTCTTGGGTTACAATATGAACAATGAGTATAAAATGAAATGTTGAACAGCTGCTCATTCTGTGAATATCCTCCATCCAATGTAAAAATGATAGAGGAGTCATGCAGAAAGGATAGTTTGCAATTGTGCAATTAAACCCTTACTGTAAAGCATATGCAAAATGTCTTAAGTAGCCTTAATTTTATGGTTTCTTGACTTCTGACTCTTTAGCCCTTGTATGTTTTTTAATGTTGAGAAATTTTATTCCTATAATCAGTAGTAGATACTATACAGGGAGAACTTCCTTCATCACCCAGGCAAAGGCCATGTGACAAAAGGACTATATAGTATTCTCAAAGCTCATCTGTATGGGGCTGGAATTTCTCACAGTCTGGGCTGCCATTTTTCCCACTTTATGTTCACAAACTCCCTTCTCGATATGCAGTAGCGTATGTTTGTAGTAGTGAGGGACAGATGCTCAATCTCAACAAAGATCAATGTGACTCCAGGGAGCACTGTAGCATCTTTACTCTGATATTAGACTTCACTATCCTGAGGCTGTTCCTATGTGGCAGCTTATCAGGTTGCCAGCCTGTCTTTAAGATAGCTCTCTTTATCTTATTTTTTTAAATAAGAATGTATATTTAAAAGACATACCTGTCCAATAATAAGTGGGACTACAACAGTCATAAACAGCTGCGAGAATATAGATGTAAAAGGCACAGAGGAGGATGATCCAAGCTACAAAATAAAAAATATACCATTAATATTGCACTTTTTCTTAGTATCTGTGAATTTCACAAAGATATCACATATTAGTATACATTTTATTTTACAGATAAAAACTTCGAAGTATGTGCACAAAATTGGAAGTAGGTGCACACATCTTTAATTATTAAGTCCCAGTAAAGCATTTAATATTCCATAGTAACAAAACTAAAACAATCTCTAGTTGATTATTTTATAACCTAAGGTGATAGTTCCATCAATAATCATTTATTTAAACATTGCTACACATATATGCCAAGTAAAGCATTCGTATGCTGGTAGTCTAAAAAGACAGGGAGTGAATCTTCCTAACTAAACAGCTAGCTCAACTAACCTTACCACTTATACAAATACCAAGCAACAAAAATCGGTGTAGTTATTTTAATAAGTAATAAAAAAATAATAAAATAGCGAAGACTTTCATGTATTTTACTTCGATTAAGATAAAAACACTTAATAAATCACAGCATCTCATCCCCATCATTTCCAATTTTAACAATGTGGGCACAGAAGACAGTTGAAGGGGATCTGAAGATGATGTCATCACTGAAACTTTTGGTCTGCAAGAAGGGTGCAAGTGAGAGCACTGAGACTAAGGAGCCTAAATTCCTCATGGAGTCAAGAGGGAGAAGTAAAGGCTTGCAGGAGAAGACTCAGATCACCCACGTGAGTACTTGATGTCAGGCAGTACAGCTACTCTGTTCCCAAGGGACACAGGGCTCTCTGCATGATTCCTTGCAGAAAGTGGAGCAGAAAACTCTATCATACCACTCATGATCTCCTTGTTGTTTTAATTCTCGTAAGGAGCTTCTGAAATTTTAAAAGGTTCATAGTTTTCCAAACTCTGTTTGGACTTATTTTTTGCTATGTGCTGAGGAGCTAAAAGCATTACTTACTGTGTATTCAAGGAAGCTTTTTCAAATGAAAGTGAAGATTTTTAAACTTTAAAATCTGTCTGGGTCACAGAGGAGTGAATCTAACCAAGCTGTCCACATGTCAGGACCCTCTGCATAGCTTCAGAAAATTATGACACTTTGGCAATGGCTCTTGTGCATTTTTATAAAAACCTTGATTGGACTTCTCTCACTGCTTAAAAGTTTTATAAAACTCAGTGGATGCACAATCAGTTTCTAAGTCAGGAATGAAAAACTGTTCAGCAATATTGTACACTGCTGAAAAAGGCAGCCATTTAAACAGCAATAGTCTTGCCAGCTTTTTTAAATAGTACTTAAATACAGTCTTCAAGCATTTGGTATATATGAGGATATGTTTTGGTTTGGGTGTGGGGGTTTTGGGGTGGGATTTTTCTTTGTACTCATTTAGTTTTACATAATTAGAAACTGAGTTACAGGTACTGTCCTGGGATGCTAAACCAATTTACTAAGGAAAAGTAAAATTATTTTATCCAAAGAGACAATCTTCTCTATCAGGATATCAGCATATGGTTCTTCACCTTGTCAACTTCACCCCACTCATTCAGGCTCATCTCACTATTACTTGGACCACCAAAGGCACACATTTCAGGTAACTACCTCAGCCTGACTACATTTTAAACAAAACAGAAAACAACATAACAGTCCAGAATGAATAAATAAATGATTTACTAATATGGAGCCAGCTTTTCTCCCTTGAATCTTTAAGAGGTCCTACCACTGCTATACCACACCTGGGCGTACAAGTTTGGAGCAGTGTGTTTGCTAGGCTCTGCCTGCCCTTTGTACACTGCTATGGTATTAGACTTGCCTGTCTCACCTATGGTACTAACATCACTTCTTCAAACAGACTTCTGAACATTTTCCCTACTGTATATTACGACAATAACTTCAGTGAATTGGTTTTTATCAGAACCTGTATGTTAGACAACATGTATAAACTCTTCCATGGTCTTATTTTAAATCTATTCCCAGAGAAAGACACAGAAGATAAGATAATCGCTGAAGAAAAGAGAAGGCAGGAACTTCTCAATCACACGGAATAAAAAGACTAACTCTGGAAATACAGTGGCTAACCATGAGGAATCACAAAGGCTAAAGCTAATGAATGCTAATTTGACCAGGACTGCCTCAACATACGTAGTATGCAAACACATCAGGATCACAAACTTAAACGTCCCACAGACTCTCAGACATCGCCTGGGTTCCAGACTTCCTTTGGCTATGTTTGTCACATCCACTTTGAGAAAGAGAAGTGAGAACTGAGGAACAGAGGAACCAAATAGCTTGATATAAATGTTACTCAAAATTTCCTACACATTTATAAATGCAACTATTCTGTCTGAATGAATAAACATGATTTTACTCAGGTTTTAGTTGGATCAAGCTAAGTTCTGTGCTCCGTTTGCTGTGATGAAACCTTTTTTTTTTAAACCACCTAGATGATCCGCATTGCACCAAAACTAGCATTATGCTAAAATGTCTGATTATATTTGGCTCCCTTCCATGCTATAATAATTTCCATGCCTAAAAATGAACCTTTCTTCACAGGCAAACAAACAGAATTACTGCAAGAAATGGTGTAAAGACATCATAGAATCAAACTGTTGATTTGTAGCAGCTGTATTACAGCTGTAAAAATAATCTGGATTGTGTTCAGTTTTGAGGTGAACTGCATATCATGGAAAAGAGGCAGACTGGGTGAGCTGGGATGGGACCCTCCTAGTATCTGATTCTACATTCCTATAAAGACACGTGGTTAGCTTCTGCCATGCAGAAGCAGAATGTATACTTAAAAGGCTCCTATAGCATTGTATAGATGAAAATTTCAAGAGCATAACCAAGTAGAAAAGGAAGTCCTCCACAGAAACATTAAATATTTTAGTCTTAGACCTAGACAAATTTAGTGTTTTGAGTCAGGAAGAGGGAGACCCCTTTTTATTCTCTGACTGCTATTCATATCAATTTGTATCCAATACAATTTGTATCCGATTGTACCGGATATAATAAAAGGTGAATTGAAAAGGAATAAAATGATTAAGTAAAAATTTCATGGCAGTCATTAAAAAGTTCTAGACAACTGTAAAGGGTTTGGATCAGATCAGAGAATTTTGTCTTCCTAATGATTAAAGAAAACAGAAATGCTGAGGTAAATAACCCGGTAGGAATAATGATGCACTTCAAATCTTCCACATGAATGAGCTGATCTGTTAACAGCTAATGCACTATGCTGCTTCCTCCCCTCACGGTAATCAGCCTTTTGTCACATACTAGTGAAATCCATTAGCTGCAACTTCCTTATCAACTTCCATGGCTTTCCAGCTACTAAAATATTTGCATATTTAACAATTCATTTGACTGGTATCAAGTCTCATTTACCAAGTGCTAGTGAGGAGGAACAAGGCATAGTGTGTAGAAATCCTGTTAAAAAAAAAAAAAAGTATTACAGCTCCTTTTAATAAAATGATTTACATGAAACACATGGAATTGGAGAAGACCTAGCAAAAATTTGAGAAGTAACTTTTTAAATAATGTTTTAACTTACGGGTTGTGAATATATGGGAAAGCTTTTAACTGCAGTATTTCAATCAGCTTCTACTTTCATTTATGTCCTTAGTCACATGTAATTTTATGTTACTTTTCTCTGTGATACTTGCACAGAATTTCCTTCATTTGTCTACTCCTGAGTTCTTTCAGCAGTGCTACTTTCCAGTACCTACAACATCACTACAATGCCACCATAAAAATACTTACTATAAAATTAAGAAATTTGAGAGGTACCAGGGTACCAGCAAACAAAACATGACTGAATAAATCAAGAAAAGAAGCAAACTGATAAAGCCATGGGAAGATTCCATTTTGACACAAACGTCATAGTGGACGTCCCTGGTAAAACAGCAAACATGGGAGCAATGCCTGATGGTTCCACGAAGGATTTTGCCAAGTGTATTTTTAAAAATACACATGAATTTTGCACTGGGTTTTTAACACTCTACATTAACTCTTTTGTGGGCATGCTCCTAAAGAATGTAAAGTACATAAAAATGTAAAATACTTATCTCTAACATTGATGGCTTTCAATAAAGTTACATGGATCCACAGACCTTGACTTACATTACTTTGTAAGCAAACCAGCTGTGCTTCCTGCTGCTGACAAGACCACATCTGTCAGACACTGAGCCTCAGTGGCAAGGGTAATACCAAGAAGGTGTCAAGGCTGTGATACTGTGCCATAAAAACCACAGCATCACAATTGGTTCCAACAGGTCTGCAGATGACTGACTTCTTGTATTTTGATACTAGACACAATCAACAAAATCATAAGCTTGTGTGGCTTGTTCACACAAGAAAGGTCACTCTGCATCACCCTCTTACATGGTAGTACAATATCTACGCTCATTCTGCTTTGAGGGCAAATCCAAGAGACATGACCTTGCTGAGGCATCAATGAAAATAAACCTGCATTCATATATATTCCCATTTTTCATAACAATGTAAGGACATACAAGTGAGATGATACAGCTACAAGTGTTTCACAGTGCAGTGCTCCTGAAGTTGTGCATTTCAAATGAGACATCATAAAAAGATGCTGACATCTCGAGGTTATTAAAGAGATCACAGAACTATTATCTTCACAGTATGATGACACCTTTTGTTTAACTGTCTTTTAGTAATGCAAATGTGCCCAAATGTACTATACTTAAGAATTCAAATCATAAACTGTTACTACAAATCATAAAATGTTAATACAATTACTAAAGGAAATAACTAAACTGAACATAGAGAACAAGTCATATAAGCAAAGATGGACAGTCACACCCAAGTGACTAACTTCCTCAGGCATTACTTAACCTATTTGTAGTCATCATTTATTGATAATAATATAGTTATTTCCAAAAGCAAAATTAAGTCTACACTTCAATTTCTTGTTGATGGGGGGTCCCGTTCCGCCTCCCCCTCCCCCCCCCCAAATGCCTTTGAGAAAATAAAACTTATTTATCTGCTTTAAAAAGAATTCATGATCAGTCACCTCTGGCTTCAGCTAAGTACACGAACTGACAAGAGGAAGATGGACAGCATCCTCCTCTGAATGCTTTGATACACAGCCTCCTAATCATCACTAATGAAACACTGCAGAACAGTGCAAAAATGTGAACAGCATAACCTCGAGTTAACTTGAAGCTGATGTATCTTACAGCACTTTGTTTCAACACTCCTGCTCACAACATATATGAACTCTAATCAATTACATATAGTTCATGGGACATTGCCCATTTATAGCATCTTTGCTGAGAATATAACATATTAACTGCTAATAATAAGGGTTAACATGAGGACGATATTGCCGATTAATGCATTTGGAAGCCAGATTGAATAGCTTCTTATTAAGTAAAATGTTAACCAGAGGAATCTGTGGTGAAGTCAGCTATTCTTTAAAGTCTAGATGGGAATCCTCACAAGGACAGAGTCTAGTAATTATGTGCACGATATTTAAGGTTTCGTTAAATCCATCAGAACCTCTTAGAATGCTTCTTTTGAGTAAGCTCTTTACACCTGGAGTTTCACAGTAGAAAAACACTTTTCAGAAATGTAACTGACAATCTTATGTTCAACACCATTCATTTAAGATAATAAATTATTTGCATTAAATGCATGCTTTATAATATGCTTCAACATGCCTTCATCAATATTGTTTAAACAATTAATATTTACACTACTAGGCAATTATGAACAGAAAAGGCAGTTCAGAACATTATATTCTCTGGTGCACATAGGGCAAAATTTAAACCATAACTGCTACTGCAAGTTAAGCTATATAACAAAAACAAGCTAATGGACAGGAAAGTATTTTATTTCTGGCAGTACTAAGGGTGTTTTATGCTCTGTGTAGCAGGAGATAACAAATAGGATCACTAATACAATACAGCACTCAGACTACCGTAGTATGACCCTGGAAGTGCTAGGGCTTGTGAGTACCAAACTTCGAAATTAAAATTCATTGAAGGCATTGGCTTCAAAGGTCCCTGAATGGTGTTCAGAAGTCCAGCTCAGCTAGTGTTCAGGTAAATGAGACTTATCTTGAAACTGGGAAATTCCAAATCTTTATTAACTAAGCATTAAGGCTAAGTTGCATGACTAAACTACTAACTGAACAACAATTAATGTGCATTTTACACACTTCTCATACAAGTGTCTCCAGGGCTGCTAGGAAGAACAGAGGCACCTACTTTGCCTTCCTGTTCTTGCACACAAAATTTTACCATCCCTTTCAAGAAGTAACAGTAAAAACCGCAACTCAGGACAGAATATCTTGTTATCAGCCCATAAAGTCACCAAAGAAAATATGTTCACTTTGCTTAAAAAGGTATATGGATCATTCCTTAACATTTCAATTTCTGCAGAAAATATCCCTTTGGGCTATGTAAAGCACCAAAACTCAGGTAAGGTACAGCAGGGTGAAAGTTGCCAATGAGCAAAAGTTTAAAAAGCTGAAGTTTCAGTCACTTAGAAACAAAGGCACAAGTCTCTGGATGAATGTCTATGGAAGAAACAGGTTCCATACAGGGAAGGAAGAGGACAGCAACAAATTCAGTGCATGAATAATAAACCCCACATTTTTCTTAGTTATCTTTTCAACCTAAGGTAAGTCTATTGTCCCAGGTATATCAAGAAAGCTTTGCTAGTGTGTACTGATATTTACAATATGGTCAAAGCAGGTCTTGTGTAAACACAGTTACATCGGATGAATTAACAATTTGTTACAGTAAAATAAGAATCTTCCCACACAGCTTTATTGAAGCAGTAGTTGATAATGTTACAGCCACTCTCACAGTACTATTTATCCCTGTTTAGTATACACTGCTATATTTGTATACAGTACATATGCTGCTTAAGCATCCCTACGACAAACAGCGTGCCATTTGCATGCCACTTACAAATTGTTTCAGACTAACTTCTCACATCCTCTCCTTTCCAGGGTGCTGGCTCACATACAATGCAATTAGTAAGATAAACACGAAAGACAATGTATACATCTGCTGAAATACTTGAAGAGCTTCAGCCTATTCCCCTGCTCTTCACAAAGCCACATTCCTCACTTAGTAACCTGCACTACTGTCTATCATTTATGCCAACAAATCCTCAAGTACCAAAACTTCCAGACAGGGGACTTAAAGCACCACTACCCATCTGTTAAAGCCTCTTTGTTGTACACTGATGAATACCCATACCTTTATAAAGTATGAAGATAAAACTTGGTCTTCTCCCTTTTCTTCTACCCTGAACTGTAAGGAACAAGGCCCTGACTAAAGACTAACGATTGAAAAAGAAATCTTGAACTAACAGGAATGAAGCAGCATCACATTTAGTGGTACACAAGGGCTCCAGTAATGTGTCGTGCTGCTGCTGCTATCTCACTAACCTCACAACAAAAATACCCACGGGCTTAGTTGCCCAAAAACATGGCTCTGTTTATCTGAACAATGCTTTCCCAACTGGCCTGTCATCCATTCTGGATCAGTACAATCTTGTCCAGCTCCTGCATGTGAAAGCTTCCCAAAGATCTCCTAACTGAGAGTAATCAGCTTACTTGGAAAGTGTCTGTATCTCACCCAGCCTAATAGCACGTGGTTTTTATAATTCTACCAGAACAATGGGGTTTGGACCTCTTAGAATGAGGTGCAGGTAGTGCTTGCATTCATTGCTACACACTTTGATGGCCTTTCTGGAAGACAGCTTACTTCAAATACTGACCAGAAAGGCTTTCCTTGTTATTTAAGCATTGTTAAATCACCCAAATTTATATCTTAAAAATAGTGTCTAAGAGGTGCAAGATTAGCCAATAAAAAAACATCTTAAGATCAAGATACTTACAAAAAGCAAAAGCAGAAGTGGAGTTATAACAATGCCCTGGAAGAAAGAAACAAAAAAGAGTCTGTTAGTCAGGGAAGCAGAACAGTCTTTATTTCCTTGTACCTTGGTGCCTGGAAATATACAAACATCATTCAACATCATAGAAATTAAGTAACAATAAGTTTAGCTTTGCTCTTCACAGTGTATGCTCTTTAACATCCGTATGCCGATCATTTTATAAATTATATCCTTTTTTACCTCTAGCTTTCTCCATTTTGCACGTAAGTCCCTCTATTCTAAAAGATCCAATACACAGAAATATAGATCATTTATTTTAAAAAACATATTAAGGTTCTCCCCTCACTGTGCTGTATCTTAACTTGACTAAGCTGCTCCTCCTTAGAGGGGTACTTGTGATCAAGTCCCATGCTACCCAGTCCCAGGTCCTCTTCTGAGCAAAAGCCGCATCAACTGTGATGAATTAGGTGTCGTGACTGTGTAATGTAAACTGATATTCCCCAAGGAAATGAGCTGAGATCTCAAAACTCATTTCACTTGATTAGACTTTGCGTCTCACTGGTAGAAGGCAAGTCTTTCATCTAATTTAATCACACAGGACCACCTCAGCTTTTCACATCCCCCAGGCAGACACAAGCAAAAAGATTTGTTGTCTTTACTGACAAGGAACAGGTTTCAAGATGATGATTGGACAAAAGAGAGGATTTTAACTTTCATGAGAGTAAATCTTAAAATGAGTTGTTTGGGTTGGGAGTTAACATGACATGCATCAGTTCCAGAGCTGCAAATAGCAATTCCCCACTATCCCCCCATCTGCCTTCAATATTTTATTACTGCTCAATAAAATGATTCTATCATTTAATGCATGCTAGTTCACAAAGCTTGCTCAGAACTTCTCTAACCCAAGACTATTCTTCATCCAGATATGTCTCAAGAAAAACTAGTCTTTCAGCTATTCACAAACTTTATTGTTTAAAGGACAAAGGTCCAAAACTTGCTCACATTCATCTATAAAGATGCTTATTTTCTGTTTGTTTTTTTGCTCCGTAGTTGTCCCTGCTTTTCATTTAACCTTGAGTAACACAACTTTACTTCAATCTTTTGGAAGCTCATATACAGAAAAACCTTTTATGACTAGTTTTGTATTTGCTTTCTGGGTACACAAAAAGTCACAGATCCAGACAGATCATTAAGCACAGGGTTCCTATTGCGTTCTTAAAACAAAATGCAACAAGTAAATGCCAAAAATGATAGCAGATAGGAAGAACTGAGGAGGAAACAGTTAAGCTGTGCAACTTGAAGGCTCTGCAGGATTTAAAAACATATTTTGAAATAAATAATATATGCCATATCTGACTGCCCCACAGCCTAGCTATCCATAATCATTTATCTTTTTGCAAATGTCACAGCTGAGACAGATCATAAAAGACTAGAAAGACAAGAAGTAGAAGCAATAAGAATTGCTTCAGGGAGTCACTCACTGTTTACAGGGAGGCCTAGATCAAAATGCAGGTAACAGTTATGAAGAAATGTAAGTGTTTAAGTATACCAGCTGTAGAGGAAGAAACAGAAGTTGAGGAAGTGAGGAGGCACCGAGAGCTGAACTGATATTTGCGTACAGTAGCATCTATGATGCTTTGAAGGAAGAACTGAGAGTAAGATTTGTATAATGTAGATGCAACACAGCCACTTCATCAGAATGACCCAACTCCAACCTTTATGAACTGCTACTAAGAATACGTGAGCCATACTTTTCCCTTCTCCCCCATTCCCCATCGGCAACTACACTTCACAAGTGCCTGAGTATTCCCTAAGCACCTTGTAATTTCGGGGTGGCAGAATACCACTGCAGCAGGGTTCCACCTTCAGACCTTTGCAATGAGCAAAGAGGAGCATGGATGGAATGGAAGGCGATATGCCAAAACATCCTGTACTCCAAATGAACATTGAGTGTAGGGAGAAGAGAGCACACTGACAGCTGGTGAGTTTAGCCATCTCTTCTCTAAATCTGAAGGAACTCATTGATTCAGCACCATTAGTCATTTCTTACACACTTCATACCTCTGTACATTTTAGAGCACTTTTATACATTACAAAAAAAATTCTAAGATAAAACCAAAACCAAACAACCTTCCCATTTATCTTGATAAACAAAGATGGTGTCTTCCTCTTTGGCATGGAGCCTGTGACTTGGTGTAAATCTGTTTTAGAAGCTTGGTGATGCTAACACAGTGGGCAACAGCCGTTGCTAAATCAAAGCACACCTCACAAAAGGAAACCTTACCACTCTGACAGTAACACTTCTTCCTAATTCAGTAAGCAGAGAGGAAGAGAATCGTGGTATACATCCTAAATAGATTCCTGGCTAAGCTTGTTGAAAACCTAGCATTGAAAAAGGTCAATTCTAGCAATTCTTTACAAAATTTTACTGTTAAACTCAGTGATCTTAATAATCATAAGCAAATTTCCTGTTGTTTCTCCACAGAAAGGATTAACAAGGTTGAATTCTTCCATTTGCAACACATACACAATTCCCAGGGAAGCTAAACAAATACCTGACAGAACAGACAAGTTCATATTAAAAAATAGATGTTGTTGCCAAATCAGAGTAATTTGATGTTAATGTTTTATTTTGATAAGGAGCACCAGTTTGAAAAACCACAGGGATTACATTAAAACCAAAGGGGTTTTTTCAGTCAGTAGTGCAGTGGTGACTGTGATGGTTTACAGGTGCAAGCAAGGCAAGATTTGTCAGGGGAGGGAACATCTCTTATCAGACTGACTAATGGAGTTAGTAAAGAACAAACTTTAGGCATGTAAAGCTCATTTTTATGTTATCTGAAAACACTGACATGCTTTTATGTGCAAACCCCTTCTCTTCAGGTTTCCATTCCAGATCTGAAGAAAGGTTTACATGACTATAGTGTACCTGTCTAACAAAACGTATTGCCTTTCCCTGCACACACCACCTGGCTTCCAAACATTACCTCTTCATTATAAACATGCTCCTCAATATGCTCATAAGCATTATGTGATACATCTCAGTTCATATCCACTAAAGAATAATATAGAGAGCACATTGAGTCTAAAGCCTACTGATAGAAAATACTGCAGCTCTAGGTTTTGAAGGTAAAAACATAATCTGGTTCACTCAGAATAAAGAAAAGATGGAAGAAAAGTTAGTTTGCTTGGTCCAACTCAGGCACTAGAGCTTCACAAAGCTTCACACAGAGGCTTCACAAAGACAAGGATATTCTAACACTGGCAGTGTGATTGCTTTGTAAGACTGACAAGCTGAAAAACACAAAGGAAGCTAAAAATTAAAATAAAGACTATCATTTCTAAGTCCACTGGACACTGACACTGTCAGAGAAGAAAGAGTAACTAAATTTGACTACACTTTTCCCTACCTTGCTTTCCAGGCAAGTACTGTCAAATACATAGTGTACGGCGATAAACAGATTGTATATTAGCACTTCCAGCAGAAGATGAGCATCTGCCCTTGAGAATGCAAGGTCATTACACAGTTTTAGCATCTTCAAAGTTCGGTTGGAGTGTTAAGCTTTCCGACTGCTGCCCACAATGGAGGCAGAGTTGTAAAGTGACTGCTGTTTGCAAGCAGCAGAAAAACTTTCAAGAAATCCATTTACACCTCCGATGTGAAAGACTGACTGAATATATTTCAATGATTTTAGTGGAAGGGGAAGAAAAAAATCTCGGCCTGACCTGAGACACTGATACAACACAGGAATCTGAATAGTCTGATATCTGTAAACACAGATCTTTTTACAGTAAAGATCATGAAACATGTCTTAAGAAAGCTTAAATACAGGCTTGTGAGTGTGAGCATGTGCATAAACATATACTTTAACAGCAAGAATGTACTGGGAAATCCATTTAATTGTTATTTGTCTTGTATAGATAAAGATGTTAAGAGATCTTCTATAGGTTTCACCCAGTACAGCATTGCTGCACGGAAGATATTAAAAGGTGTCTAGTCGCCAAAAGACTATGCAGAATGAATACACGTAATTGACTGCCAAAGCGGACAGCAAAAGGAAGTAACATAATGGATGTGAAAATACGATGGCAAATCATGAAGAAAGAAATTATGCAAACAGTAAGAGGAAGGTGGGCACAGATCCAGAGGGACACATGGTAGAAGAAGAGTAAGGATTATTGTAATGAGGCATGAAATACATGTGAACTTTCCTTCGTTTCCTTTACCCACAAATTTCCCATGCAATTATTCTTCCTTCTTACAGGTCATCAGTATGACACTCTTGTGGCAATTACTAGTGAAAAATAAAACCTTAACCAAAGTCACGTCTGATTTATCTTGGGAAGTAGGGCTAGAAAGGAAAAATAAGCGGTTTGTAATCAAGGTTCTGAACAAATATGCATTTTCTGAAATCAATGATCGACTTGTGCTTAAAGCTACAGATGTCCTAGAATGCTCCCGCAGAGCAGGACACAAAAGAAGCACAAGTGTAAACATTTTTGTGTTATAAACTGAATAGTGAAAAGTTAACTGTGCAACATTTCCACTACTACTGATGGGGTAATGTGCGAGAAAAATAACTATGAACTGTGGATAATTTCATCAGAAGACAAGCATGAATGAGAACTGAAATTAAATCTTCATCTGTGTACAGCACTATTTCTCCCATGGGTTTATTTCAAGCATCACTGGCACTTTTTGGTAAAGAAAGAGCAACAAAAAAAAAAACCAGCCTGTCCCCACCCCCTCAACAAACAAACAAATCCTTTTTCTGCAAATCAGTTTTTCTGATTGTAACATGAGAGAGAGAGACTTTATCTGGAAGCATTTATTATTTCTATTTCTTCTTATGTTTTGTTTCCTTGCTTTTGTGCTCGGGATGGTGGGGGTTCTTTTTTAAAAAGTTATTTTTCTTTATTTTGTTTTTGATGAATTTGCAGACAACTTTATAATGTTTTACATTTAGAAAAAGAGAACCCTGTCTCTAGAAAAGTACTGTCAGATCTGAATTCAATAGGTTTCTGAGCAAGAGAGAGCT